CACAATTCAACCCATAGCAATAATCTTTCGTTCTTGAAGCATACCTGGGCGACAGCCCCACCCTCTGGGCTCTGGGCACTGCTCAGGAAGCTGCCTGAGGCCTCCCACAGGGTGACTGGGCAGGGCGCCCTGGGCCTCCCCTTCACCTTCTAGAAGGGCATGGAGTTTCAGGGCAGTTGAGTGACAGCACCTGCCCCTGCACCTGCTTGACCCCTCCCCCATCCTGTCTGCTACTACCACCTGACAAGGAAAACCTCACCTGCGGCCGTCCCTACCTGTAGCTAGGTATGATCTGTAGGCTGGAGTCCGGCTTTATCTGAAACTTCAGGGTCACCCCCGTGAACGCAGGGTCCACCTTCTCCGAGCCCCGGAGGGGCTTCTGCTGCTTCCTAGACCTCCTCTTGGGCAGGGCTGAGGGGGCTGGGGAGGGCCTGGGCGGCCCCTGGCTGGCTGGGGTGGCCATTTTTTGGACGTCCCTAGCCAGGGACCCCAGAGCCAGGGGCTCCCAGCAGGACCTCCCGGACTGGAGGAAACACAAGGCAGAGACAGAGGCCGGGCGCACAGGCGAGGGGGACCTGAGGACAGGGACAGTAGGGTCACCCCCGTGCCCTCACCAGACTCAGTTTGGAGCTGCGCTCCGGGCAGGTTTCCACCCTCCCTGGGGCTCAGATTGTGCGGAGGTTTAAAAACGTCCTGGGAATCTCTCCTCAGCGGGCCTGCTGTGCGCCGGACCCTGTTCCTGGCCTCCCCACGGGGATGACAGTCCACCCCCCCTCGCCCAAGTCGTCGAAGGGGCGCAGCGCCATGTTACAGGAAGAGACTGCGGCGCAGGCAGCCCAGAGCAGCTAGGTGATGGCCAGGGTTCCGAGCCCAGCCTACGGCTGCGGGAGGCTGAACCGAGGGCCACGGTTTCAGGGCTTTTGTTAGAAGTGTGATTGCATTACTTCCCACCCCCCCTGAGTGATCTGGGGGAGCGGCGAGGGGGGGGCACCGAGGGGTGGGGGGTTGTATGTACCTGAGAGCTGAGGCGCAGAGGGGGGCGGCCGGCGCGCTTTGCATGACCTCGGATTTACACGACCCCAAGTGACCCCTTTCAAACTCCTGGTAACTAACGATGACCCCTGGGTAACCCCAAGACCACTTGACCACTGAGGGCGAGGAGGGGAGGGGCGGAGAGCTGGGGGGAGGGGGCCGCTTCTCACGCACCTGCATCCACATCCGGGGGGCCCGGGCTCCCGCTTGGAAAGGGGTGTGGGGGGCCGCTCCGGTTCCAGACAGGGTGGCGCCAGCAGCTCTCGCAGCAGCAACAGGGAGAAGTGCGGGGACGGCGGCGGGGCCTCCATGGCGCCCGGTGGGGCCCCTGCGGCCCCCCTCACTCCCACCCACGGAGCCCCACCTGGAGGGGCGTGGCCCGCGGGGCCGGGGTTCCGCGGCCGGGCGAGGGCAGGAGCGCCATCTGAGTGGAAGG